ACCCTGCTCTACTAAAAAAAAATTAGTCGGGCGTGGTGGCGGGCGCCTGTAGTCCCAGCTACTCGGCAGGCTGAGGCAGGAGAATGGGTGAACCCGGGAGGTGGAGCGTGCAGTGAGCCGAGATTGCGCCACTGCACTCCCCCCTGGGCGACAGAGTGAAATCCGTCTCAAAAAAAAAAATTGCTGATGTGGTGGGCACATGCTGTAGTCCAGCTACTTAAGGGGGCTGAGGTAGGAGGATCACTTGAGCCCAGGAGGTCAAGGCTGCTGTGAGCCGTGATCACAACACGCGTTCCATCTACCCTGGGTGACAAAGCAAGACTGTGTCTCCCAAAAAAAATTCCGGCAGGAAAGGGAACGGTCACCCAAAGGCTTAGGGTCTGCGTCTGACTAAAGCGCCTTCCCGGAGCCTTCAGTGCTCCGTTCAGGGGCAGCCAGACAGAGCCAGGCAGTGCCTGCGGCTCCAGAGAGCAGCGCTTCTGACTCAGGAAGGTCTGCTGCCAAGAATGGATTTTTTTTTTTTTTTTACCATATGCAAGTATGAAGACGCTGTTTCCTTTCTTTTTTTCTTTTTTTGAGAATCTCACTCTGTTGCCCAGGCTGGAGTACAGTGGTGTGATCTTGGCTCACTGCAACCTCTGCCTCCTAGGTTCAAGTGACTCTCCTGCCTCAGCTCCCGAGTAGCTGGGATTACAGGCATGCGCCACTATGCTTGGTAATTTTTGTATTTTTACTAGAGATAGGGTCTTACCATGTTGGCCATGGTCTGGTTCTCAAACTCCTAACCTCAAATGTCCTCCTGCCTTGGCCTCCCTGTGAGCCACCCTGCCCAGCCTGAAGATGCTGTTTTCTTTCTATGTGAATGTAGTAAGTCTGTAGAATAGAGCTTGACAGCATATGAAGGGGAGGTTGGCCTCTGAGCAGAAAACAGCCAGTACTGACACACAGAGAGCAAAAGCACATGGGCCACGCCGCCAGGAATGACGGCCACGGCATCTGATCACGAACACCTATTGACACGAAGTGGATGGAGCAAAGATAAACCTTTTCCCACTGAAACATTCATACATTTGCGCCGTTTGGTTAACAACGAATGTTCTTTTTTCTATAAATGTGTTGCCGCCAGGTCCTGAGCGTGTGTGTGCATGAAATTCCAAGCACCAAGACCGCTGAGCCAGCATGCCTAATATCTGGTGCTGCTTCTCAGCTGAGCGAGAGCAAAATGTTAAGAAAGATGAAACATCTTATTAGGACTTGCTTCAAATTCCAGAACCTCTAGTAAGTGGCACAAGCCTGTCGCAGGATGCTTTCAGCACACCCAGTTGGGTAAGTTCCTCGTTTTCTACGAGCCCCAGGAGATGCCCTGCAAATCTCTCTCACTGCTTGAGTTGTTTCCTCATCTCCATTTAGCACCCACTTCTTCATTCCTGGAACTATGTGAAACAGTATCAGCCATCAAACAACTTCTTCGTAATGATGTCAACTTCATTTTGGCGAATACTGCTAAGATGTCTTCAATATATGTCATGATAACAAAATGGATATTTTCTAACTTCCAAACCCTTTCTACTTGACTTTTTATTTTATTTATTTATTTTTATTTATTTATTTATTTATTTATTTATTTATTATT